TCAAACACTTGACTCAAGCAAAAGCTGAGACTTTTAAAGATGGATAAAAAGAAAGCTAAACCTTATCCCAGGGTATCCAACACACCCTACACAGCCAATTAGTGCATTTCTCTCCCCCTTGTTTGTTTGTTGGGGTTGATACCACCTTTATACACAAACACATATTTTCTTGGGGAGCTTAAACATATTAGTGCATTCTGGAAATACTTTCTAGGGGCATATGCTAGAGAAATAGTTCAAATCCTCTCTGATCCTTGTTAGCATGAAACCTTCAATGGAATGTTTTTAATTCTCATTGTCATGAAGTGCTGCCAGGCTGAGATCTTATTCCTCTATCAGGCAATATTCCCATCACAATCAATGCCAGATGAAAATAAAAGCAAACAATTTAGTCCATTGTAATTTTTTTCCTTTACAGAAAGCACTTGTCATCCTTCAGGTCACTTTGTTTTTCTTCAAAAAAGGAGAAGACATTACACTATTGAACATTTGTCAGTACAGGATGGTGAATCCAAAGGTGTTTCATGGAAGAGGTAATACAGCAGGTCTTTTACAATATAGCAGGTGATTTAATGGAGGGAGAGTTTTACTGATTATTGAAAAAAATCTTTCTGCCTAAACTATGACCTTCAAGGTTTAACCTTTGTAATCCAGAAACATCAGATAAAGTAGGAATTCTAACATAAGTATATTTGCACTGGAATTGTTTAACCTTGCAGCTGTGGTCACAAACTCTCCTTTCACATAGCACCTTCAGAGCACTCACATTTACCCTAATCAAAGAAATGGAAGTTAGGACAAGTGCAGGTTTGCTGTCCATTACTGCGAATAGGAAATGTGTATTGCAAAAATGTCTCTCAATACAAGTACCAGTAACTCAATTTGGAATAACTTGTGGTTAGTGGGATTTGCTTTTAAGCAACTGAGTTCAAATATGTAATACAGCAATAGTGGGAAATGGTTTAGATTAAGAAAATAATGTAAAAATAATTTTTGGATTTATTTTTATTAAATTTTCTTGTTGTCACAAGCTCAGAGCCTGATGCTGCAAATGGCTGAGAAGCTCCTGGGAATTGCTAAATACTTTTCAGGACCATGCATGGGAGAAAGCTGAGAAGATTTTAAAGCACTTTAGAGGAAAGATGTTTGTATCTGAGACATAGATGAAAAACTGTGCAGGATAAATTGTGCCAGAATTACCATACTGGGCAGTGAAAGTCTTTTTCAGAACATCAGTGGGACTATGTTACCTCAGACAAGGGGCCCATTTGGCCCAGTACCCTGTTTCATTTTTCCAACTGCAAATTATTTTCAGTTCAGGGGAGTTATTGAGCCCTGGTGGTTTGTAGACAGTATAAATGGTTGTTCTTCTAAACATTTCTTCATTCTCTTCTTTGATGTGTGGAGAGCCAACATCCTTTGGCAAAGAATTTTCTACCTACATGAGAAACCAACCTGTTTTATTTGTTTCGAAGTAGCTTCCTACTTGCTTCATCTGGTGGTGCTCAGTTCTGGTTCCAGACAAGACTACAGACAGCTGACCCCTTACCTGCTCTCTCCAGACCCCCTGGGAGTTTGGACACTGCTGTTATACACTCCCTCAGCCACATCTTTTTTCTGCCCTGGCAAAAGGCACTGCTCAGTCATTCTTTGTCTGACAGCTGTCCATACCTTCAGCCATCCTTTTGCTTTGGAAATTTGCCCAGTTTTTATCTGTGCTACCTGAGAGCAGAGTACCAGAAGCACACTGACTCCTCCAGGTATGTGCAAACCAAACATTTGTGCAGCAGTATAGAGCTGTCAGATGGTTTAGTCTCTGTTTCTGACTCATTATTCCCAACCCAGGTTTTCCCTCTTCACCATGATCTGTTGCTGGGCTGATGTGTTTGTGGGACTGTCACATTGTACTCCCAGATCTTCCTGCTGGGTGGCGATGGTCAGCCCAGAGCTTATCACTGTGTGTGAAGTTAGGAATGTTTATGCCATTTTACATCTATCTACTTGGCTTTTATCTGCCATTTCATTGCTAGGCACCCTCAGATCCTTCTACAATTCCAATTTGCCCTTAGTCTCGCTGCTCTGAACAGCTCCAAGCCATCAGCAAACATTTACCCTCTCTCCAGGTCATTTATGACTGTGTGGAGCAGCAGAGCTCCAGCACACACCCACACATAACTCCATCACTGAACTCCCTCTGCCTTTTACTCCTGCCCTCTGATCCTCTCTATTAACCATTAATATCTTCCTGTGAAGACTTTCTCTCTTATGCCATAGCTGTTTAATTCCCTTAAACACCTTTGGAGAGGGAGTTTGTCTTTTCTATTTTCTATTTTTTTTTAGAAATTCATATAATCTCTATCAATTTATATGACACCAGTATCCACTCCCTACAAACCTTTCCCAGCATTGTGCTTCCAGCATGGAGCATCCCATTGCCTGGAGCCACTTTGCTCTTCCGTCTGTCTCTTTGACTTCTCCGTGTCCCTGATCCTCTGGTGAGGACACCAAACCTATGGACATTATCTCCAAGCACAGCCTCTCAGGAAGTTCTGCTGCTTTTGGTTAATTACGAACATTAGCAGTTTTTAACCCTGGCTTTCAGGTCAATGGGGGGAAAAAAGAGGTTGACTGCAATAAGAGGATTTATAAATCTGCTGTCAAAAACAACACTGAGTCAATGAGGCAGATAACCAGAAAAGTAGCAAGCACACAGGCTTATTTTTGTCTTAGCCCTGAAAGCTTCTATTCTATAGCAAAGACTTCCATACTGATGAACATAAAATATCTTCTGATCCAATTTGCTGAGAGTTTGAACTGAAAGAAACAATTGAAACCATGTAGGATTTCTTGCAGTGTGGACATATTACTTATATACAGCTCAGTAGGTCTTGGCTGCACAAGAATATTTTAATTTTTAATGAAAGATGCCTAGAGATGAAATATTTAACACCTCTTTCTGTAAAGTCCAACTCCCATTACTATCACTACAAACATTGCAAAGGCCAGTGATACTGCTTGTTGCTCCAAGTGTTTTAGAGGGATGGATGAAAAGAAAGGTTTTATTTTTAAAGTTAGATATAGTTTGCAAAGCTCACTAACTTGAACTGAATCCTGCAGTTCTTGCTTATTAAGATCAGTGGGAGTTTCATGATTGAAACTTCTATTAATATAGCAAGATTTTAATCAAGTGAGAACCAGGAAAAATCTTCTTGACTCTTTTTTTTTTTTTTTGAGAAAAAGATTTTAAAATTCAAAAGGCCTCCTCTACAGAGATTGCATGGTATAGAGAGATTCTTTAACCCTCTGAAAGAGAAATTAATTGTTGTACAGTCTGCCCAGAGGTGACAACAGTTAGTGCCATCCCCTTCTTTTGATTAATTTTAAGTTTCCCTTCTAATTTCTGGCAGAAATCTTGAAAAAAATCCATCCCTTACGGTGTGCATTTTCCCTCCTGGGAGCTGGAAACATTTCTACTGTATCAATGGGAAACTGTAGTTCAGGACAAGAAACTTTAAACATGAATTGGCTCCAGTGAAAACTGATAGAAGCTGGTAATCCATGTGCATTACAGTGCTGGCTGATCAATAGTAATTCAGGGCTGGAGTGGCATCAACTGAGAAGGATTTCAAGGCTTGATTAGTTGTGTTCCTTTCCCATTGGGACTGTAGTGCAATCTTCACTTATAAAGACATGTGATCTGAAAGCCTGAGGCAGAACAATCCTTGTTTTCACAGGAGAAGCTTTTCTAGGAAGCAAAAGCTTTTACATCCTCATCACTCTTTCTAAAAGCTGCATCTTCTCCACAAAATTATACATTAAAAAAAAAACAAACAAGCTTAGGATGGCATCAACATCCCAGCATCTGCGAGGTAAAACAGCATGTAAAACAATCTTTTGGGCAGTGTTTCCTCATGCCTGCTTCATTCTGTCTCTTGTCATCTACGCTTTTCTGGGGGCTCTCATGTTTTCCCACATTGAAGGTAACAGGAAGGTGGAATTCAGTGAAGACTATAGAAATTTTCTGCAGAACCTGACCTACCTCAGCAGAAGTTTATCAGGTATGTATTGGAATTTCAAAATGACTTTATTATACAGGGAGTCACTCATTCTCTTGCTTTTGGGATGAGATTTTTTGCTTTTGAAGACATTCTTCAAAACACTAACACCTGACCCTGCAAACAGGATTTTTCCTCTGCCTAGCTAATAACTGCTGGTTCCTTCCTTAGCTGTGATTTCTAACTGCAAGCTTCCCCAGCCCCGTGTTCCTGCCTGAAAAGGCTTTTCTGAGGTGCCTGTGTTCTCCCTTTTGCCCAGGCTACCTAAGGTCCTCGAAGACCAGCTGAGATTCCTGTGGTGTTTCCTTCTGTTTTCTGGGGACTGAAATCTCTATCTCAGAAAGTTTCTCCTGCTCCCCCTTCCCCTGCTCTGAGCCCCCTCCAGCCCTCTGCTGATGGGATGCTCAGAGTGAGAGAGGTGCAGTCCTGCACCCCAGACCCAGAGATGCTGATGGAGGGGGTAGAGTGGAAGAGAAGGGCTGTAAATCCTCCTGGGTCTGTGCCGGGGCTCGTTCACAGGCTTGGAGTTCACTCAGGTAGCTGTGCCGACAGGATGGTCTGTTCGGGGCAATTAACCCTGACCTTTCAAGAAAGGCTCTGCCACGGGGAGGAGGAATAAGGGCTGCGGGCTCTGGGATTCCCAGCAGAGTGCTGGGCAGTGACACCCAAGTGTTCATATCCTTTACCTACTGATGACTCCACATTTCTGATGCCTGTGTGTCAAATAAGACCAATCTCCTGGAGAGTCCGAAATGAAATAGGACATTCAGGCTGGAAGCTGATTATTCAGTCTTCCTGTCCTGCTTCTTTATGCTTATGTTTATTTGTTCCTTGTTTCTTTATTCACTAAAGCCACTGAACCCATCTGATTTTTTCAGGAAGGGGGGGTTGAAAGGGGAGGGCGAGAAGGTGAATATTTTTATCTTCTAAAAGAACATGAGCTAATTCTCAGCTGGAGTAAACTTCACTGGAATAACATACTGGCCGCTCCCTCAGTGATGGTCTGCAAACACTCACTGTGTCTCCTGCTGTGACTGTGACAGATAACATGACAGAAAATGAGGTGAAGTTTAAGAAAAAAATCCATGATCTTCTCAACACAGCTCAACAAGACTGGTTTGTCAATCCAAAAGACAAATGGAGTTTCTTTGGGTCTCTCTTTTTTTGCTGCACAGTGTTCACGACTGTGGGTAAGTTCAGAGGTAAAGTAACACCCTACAGAATAAATTGCTATTCCTGCTTTCTCTAATGACTTTCTTCCAGAGAATTAGAAAAGCTCTAAACAAACAAACAAAAACCCCTCTCCCAAACCCAAAACCCAAATCCCCTTGAATTTCTCTTCTGAGTATTGATGATGAGTCTGCAAGCAGTTCTGTAAACACAGGTTGCAGGGATGTAGCTGAGTCACAGAAACAAGTCAGAATTTAGTAACTAGTGATGGTACACACTAATTAGCTGCATCATTACATATATACTATAACACATACTAATAAAGGACATGTACACAGAACTATTATATTAAAGTAGAAAGAAAGCTCTGTTTTTCAGTCAAACCTTACCCTTATTGTGTGTTCCATTGGGTAATGTTTTCTTCATTGGAAAAGATAATTCATAATGCATATATTGTTTTTCAACTGCTTCCATGCTATTTATGTGTAATTCAGCTTCCTTAATCTGTGGGTCTTTAATTAACCTTGGTGTTGTTCATACTTCTCTGGGTTAACAGCACATGACAGTGTTTAAGTGACACCTCTGAATTCTTCCATTCTGACTTCATATTTCCATGGAGGAACTAGATCAAATAGAAACATCTGCTCTGATTTTGGCTCCCTCTGCATTCTTAAACACAGTTCCTCATGCTCATTTCCAAAGCTACTTTTATCCTTTTGCTAATCTTTCTCGAATGCTGGCAAGTACAGGAACTGCCTATCTACATTTGTCAGAATCAAAGCTGGATGGGAAATATTCCCACAGCATTGTATCAAATTGCAAAGACATTTCTTCACTGCGTTAGGATACACTCAAGGCCCCAGCATGGGTATGCATATTAAAGTAAAATTAAAACTGAACCGTAAAAAAGAGCTTATTCTATACAAGGAATAGTGTGAGAGCTAATACACTCCACTTGGAGCACTTGAGTGCTGCCTGAGTCACAGCAGAAGCTTAAACCTCAGGCTCTGATGCCTTAGATGACTGTTCCAGTGCAGGTTCTTGCAGCCCCTGAGTTTGAAGGCAGTCATCCAGGTGGTCAGAGACACACACTGGGGATGGGACCAGAGTCCTCACCCCTGTGAATATTTCCTGGTACAAACACAGCAGCTTGGAGCTTTTGAAAGGGGATGTTTTAGCAGAGCTTTGACTTCAGCAAACTGATGAAAAAGCCCATTGTTGAAAACATCTTCCCGGGGTGGATTTACCCATCTCCACTAACGTGGGACTTGACAAATGTCCCCATACACACTAGCCCAGCATATTTATTTCTAAACTGCCAGTACTTTTTGCCTTCATAGCACTTAGCATTAATGTGGCTTCCTCAGATTTTGACCTGAGTTTTGGGATCAGTAGAAAGCCTAGAATATTTGTTTCTAATAGGTAGAGTAAGTGGCTATTTCCATTGTGGTGGGTTTGTTATTTGCAGTATTAGGAACTGATAAATCACCTCAGAGTAGAATTAAATTAACTACCTTGAATTATCTAGGAGAATTGAGACATCTACTGTGAAGTTTGGTGGTCTGAACTGTCACCTCCTCACTACCTGGGGAGGCTGCCTAGTGGCTTAGCTAGGATAGATTTCTGGATAGCTAAATTTAAGCTCAGGATAAGTTTTAAGCCTTGAAACTGCACAAAGTATTTTTAATGCACAGACATTGATTAAAAAAAAAAGGAAATAATATTACTGTGCAATAACTACAAAAATTAATCTTCCCCAATTGTTTCAACAGCAAAGATTAGGATTTCCAGTTAGCCTGTGGGGCACAGAGTGCCCAAGAATAAATAGTATTTCAGTGCCTCACAGCAAAGCAGGGACTGAGACCGGGTTCAGACCAAAAGCAGTGACAACCACTAGTGAAAACATGAATGGATGAAGTAAATGAAGGAAACCACACCTCAGCATATGACCTAATAATCTTACAGGCTAAGTACTGGTCCTAGAAGATCATCTAGAAAAGAGCAATGTTTTTGAAGGAAGAGAAGAAATGCTTTATGTCTTTTTGGAGGATGAGGAGAAAAATGGTGGTTAAAATTTAATGCACTCACTATAACACTGATGTTTTCTCTTGTATGCTGGAAAAGAACTATCTTACAATTTAAGTTTCCCATCTAGCATGTTAGAGGAAGGAAACATAAATACCCAAATTGAATTTAGGGGAAGGACGTATTTTCTGCTACCATTTTATTTAAGGCCCTGTGTCTGGTAGTGTTTCCCTGTTTGTTGTAATTGATATTTGTAAGCTTTAATACGCTAGGGTAAACATGCATTTCCTCATTTGATAAGCAAATGCTTCCTCCCTTGATTCTCTGTTCTGAGTACATTTAAGGGACTCTGAAAACTATGAAGTCAGTACAAACAAAATGTCAATGCAACATGTACCATTAGAGCTAGAGCTGATGAACCAGGGACAATTTCCAATTCTGTTATCACCTTACCATTCATCACAAGCAGTTTTGATGGAGAAGTGAAGTTTGAGTTATGGGTCTCATTGTCCCAGTCTGATCCACAGTGCTGTCCCAGTTTCAAATTTAGACAACAATCTAGATCTGAATCCTCCTGGAGCTCATGGAGTTTCATGCCCAGAAAACATTTAGTTGTGCTGTGAGATCCTGGAGGCTGGCCAGGAGATGACCCCTCAGATCCTCCTGCATGGCCCATCAGCTTCTCCCAGCACCAGCTGTTGTCCCTCTGAGCTCAGCCCTCAGCTCAAATCCCCTGTGCAGGGACCCATGGCCCAAGGTCTCTCTTGTTGTCTTGCCTATGGTTCCTCCTTAGCCCAGGTCAGGAAATCTTCCTCAGAGCAGTCTCCAGCAGGACAGAGCCTGCACACCAGCCTTGGATTGGCCCAAACTTTCTGTTTCTCCTCCCTAAACAGCCTCCTGTTTTCAGACAGATAAGTCCTGAAGCTGATAAGGTGCAGACAAGGTAAGAAGAGTTAATTCAACAGAAATGGCAAACTCCAAACCTCCAAGTGCTTGAACAGGTAGGATCCCTGCATTAGCATCAAGTGTCTGGGACTCAGAAATTTTAACACCTTCAAAACAAAGCCAGAAAGAACAGTATGCTCTGGACTAAAAATTGACTTTCAAAACTGACAGCAATAAAAAGCCCAGAGGATGTGAATACCCAATAAATCATAATGTTATCTCTCTCTCTCCCTTTCCCTTCTCCTCCTCTTCTTGTTATTGTTCAAGGTTATGGCAATACCTACCCTGTGACACGGACTGGGAAATATGTCTGTATGTTGTATGCTTTGTTTGGTATCCCTCTGATGTTCCTGGTCCTGACAGACATGGGAGACATCCTTGCAACTGTTTTATCCAAGTCTTACAATGAATTCAGAAAACTGCAGTCAAAAATTCTAGCCTCCAAGCTCTGCTCTGGATCCACATGTAACAAAAGGAATGAACTAAAATCCAGAGCACAGTCTAAAATAGTCATCAATGAGCCCGTGACAATCATGGAACTGCTGAGAAGTCAGGCTGGTGTGAAAAGGAGGCCGATGAAATATCGCAATGTTGAACTTTTTGAAATGTTAATTGCCAGAGAAAATGAGCAAACAAAACCAGCAAGAAATAAAAGCATTGAGAGATGGAGTTCATGTCCTGAACTTGCCAGGGGAAAGACAGTGTCCAGAGTAATTGAGAATTTTGACAAAATAGGGAAAGAGTTAGAAAAATTAGATGTGCCCATTGTGTTAATGGTGCTTGTTATCTTTGTGTACATCTCTTGTGCAGCTGCTATTCTTCCAAAGTGGGAATCCAATTTGGATTTTCAGGAAGCCTTTTATTTCTGCTTTATCACCTTGACCACTATTGGATTTGGAGATACACAGCTGGAACATCCCAAGTTTTTCTTGTTTTTTTCCCTTTATATTATTATTGGCATGGAAATTGTCTTCATTGCTTTTAAGCTGGGCCAAGATCGCTTAATTGTTTTGTATAAAAAGGTAATTTCATTTTGTGCAGAGAAAAAGATGCCATCAAAGAAGATATATCCAAAATAAGAGCAGTCATTTCTCCTTCACTTGTAAACATTGGCCACTGCAATGAGATGAAACTGTTTCTGTGCATTTCTGCCTTGGGCTGGCAGGTGTCATATTTTATTATGATTTCCTCTGAGAAATTACTGTAAAATGGCTGAATACCTCAGAATTCACTTGGTGAAGGAACCTCCAGAGAGTACTTTCCAACAGGGTCCCATCTACTAAATAATCAAAGAAGATGCTGCATGAAGAAGAAGCTGAAGGCTCTCCCTGCCAGTGCTCCCCAACATATTTTGCAAAGCTCTGACTTTCAGCAGCCTTTCTGTCCTCCCTCCCACAGCAAGCCAAGTCAGGATTTTTTTTTTTTCAGTACTTGCCCAGCCACCTTCTTGCAGGCAGGGCCAGCCTGGTTGTGGCTGTGGGTACTGAAGGTTTGCAGTGTGCTGCTGGCCTGATTTATCACCAGAGTGAGCTGGGGAGGACAACTCTGAACCCAACTGCTCTCCTGTTGTGACTGGTGTATTGTGAACATCACACCTTTGACTGGCACACACAAGTGCTAAGTTGAAAGGAAAAACGTCAAATTTTCACACCTTTCTCTGTCACCTGTCCAGAAGTCAGTCAGAAGATTGTTCATTTGTTCAGGGCTGCATCCACTCTTTCTCCATGCTGGTTTATCACACCTGTACCAGCGTGCAGTCAATGTGTGTCCCACGGTGTCCAGCTCTAAGGGTGCTCATGGCAAGCTCAGCTCCTCAGGTGGCATCTGGGGAAGGCACCCAGCAAACCTGGAGGTGATGACAGCCTGAAAGGAAGCTCCATCTCTTTGCTGATAAAGAAGCATGTGTTGATACATCGACTGCGGAATTCCTCACTCCTAATCCAGATTGCACAGACTGCTTGATTTCTGGGAGCTCCTTGGCCCACTTGTAGAAAGCAAAACCTACCTGTTTCACTGCAGCGTGGGGAGGATCCTGTAGTTATGTACTTGTGGAGAACATCAATTCACAAATAATGTTGTTTCTTCAAGATTTTGCTTGTACTATTCATAGTCTGAAGTGAGTTATCAATGATAGATTTTTTCACAAAAAATAAGAATTTAGAATAAAACTATGTAATTATTCTATAAGAAACCACTGACTTTAATTACCCACCTTTTAACTTGTAGATGATTTGCATGCCCATTGAAGGTGAATGACATCTCTAGATAATAAAAAATGTGTGATTATGTCAGAATGTACATTATTCTTCACTAGCAATTTTGCCATTTGAAACTGAGATTTTTTCAGAATATTTACATGGCATCTTATCTCTGTAATACTCCATGTACTTGATAATATGTATTCAGTCCTTATTAATAATTAGATGCAATTAAGCACTGATTATATGCAAAATATCTGTAACAAACGTGGATAGAGCCTTCCTAAACCTTCGTTCGTGAAGCCTAGCCATGATATGCAAAATATATAATGACTGATAGTATATAGAAAATGATTTATAAAAATAACAATAAAAATACATCAGCTGGAAGAAGCTCCAGTTAACTTTTTTATGTTTGCTGTAATTTTGGCTTTACATAGAAAGTCCCTCTGTTCATATTACTACTCTCATAATACCTAATTTTATGTCTTTAGATTAAAATCAGTGCAGAACTTTGGAACCATGTTTTCAGAAATCAATAAAAGGACTTGGATGATTTAATGAGTTTTGGATCAGAGAACTGCACTTCCTCTTCTCAAGGTTTTCCCTTGTGACATGTCTAACATTGTCAGCATTTCTAAAAACTGGTCTTTATATCATTTCATTTGTTTCTCTCATATCAGTGAGATCTTGTTTATGGAAAGCAGTTAATCCTCAATTTATCCCCTTTAGATTTCTCATTGACATGGAACCTTAATACCTTCATATTTACTTTATGGATTCAGGGAATTTTGGCTGGATTTGCAATGAGGATTCTGCACCAAATCATTCTAGTTATGGCCAAGGGGTGGCAGTAAACAGCTTTCCTTCCTATGGAACCTGTCAGTTATGGGAAATAAAGATGTATTTTATAGAAGGAGAGAGAAGAAATCACATCACCATTACCTTCTACAAAACAATAATGCTCCTGACTGTTCAACAGAATGCACAGCTCTGGTCCTTCACCTCTCAAGGAATATGTGAATTTGGAAAAAGATTATAGGCCAGGCTAAAGGATGAACAAAGATAGGGAACAACTTCCATACGAGACCCCTGTAGTAGCTCTCTAGTCTGAAAAGAGGTGAGAGACCGATGGAGAGATGGGTAACATTACAAGGGCACAGAGAAGGGAAATAAGAAATAATGGAATGATTTTTAAATGGCTTTCATTACGAGAGCTTGGGCTGCCAAATGAAACCCACAGGTGACAGGTTTGAGAAAAGAAACAGAAAGAGGAGAAAATGGTGCTTCACACTGTGTGTAATTAAACCGTGGATACTCCTTGGCATGGGAGGATGTGGAGATTAAAAGTTCACATTAGGTCAATGGAAGATGGGGCAAAACCATGAAAGAAAAACTTGAAAAACATTTAAGTACAAAGATAACAATTCTGGCTCAATAATCACTGAATTCCAAATTGGCAGATGAGGAGGAAGCCTCTCTACATACTTTACTCTGCTTGTGTTCTTCCTTTGCAACCTGCTGTTTCTCAGAGGCAGAATATTGGTCTGCACCATCTTGTTTGGGCCTGATTTCCATGCCTGTGATGCACAGAAACATATTGCTATATAGCTAAAAACATTCAGCAAATCTAACTTCTGAGTAGGTACTTAGTTTCACAGGTAGACAAACCAGCAAAACAAGTCTGATTGTGCAAAACGTGTCACCAGAAATTGTGATTTAGGTAACACAACCAGCCCGCAGTAAATGGAACGTGGTCACTTGGCTTGTGTCGGGAACCTAAAGGAGGGTGGAGAGCTGGACACACATCCCATTGTCAGGTTTAAAAAGGTATTTGTGTCTTCTGCTCAGGTGCACTGAAACGTTGATCTCACAGGAACAGGACTATCTGGCCCTGATTCTCTTGCTCTCAGAGTTCCCAGGTGCCAGAGCAGGGGCCCTGTGCTCACAGTGCCAGCAGCTGGGGCTGTCCAGCAGGACCTGAGCTCAGTGAGGGCACCACAGAGTGAATGACAATGAAAGTAGTGAGTAATGGCTCATTTAGTGAGCCTCAGGCATAAATATTTATGAGTTGACTGCTCTTATCATGGACTAAATCCTAGAAAAATTCGCAGTCTCTGCCCACAGAAGTTTTTATTCAAAAAAAATGGCACGGAGATCAGCTTTGTTTGCATCAAAGCAGTACAAAATATTGCTTTTCATAACTTTTTTCCATCATGTCCTGCATGAGATGGTGGATTAGATGTGAAGGGGTTCATTGAAGAACTTTTCTATCAGGAGAGACGTGACTGATGGGGAGAGGGTTGCTTGATGTGTAACCCACAACGGATATGAGTTATTACAGACCCAGCTGGAGAGCTCTGCAGATCAAATGCGCTGGATGCTGAAGGATGCTGGATCAATCGCTCCTGATTGGGCCAAGATGGCAGCTGTCACGAGCACTTAGGGCAGGGAGGACGGTATTCCTGGTGTGGGAACTACAGATGGAAGGTTGGTGGATGAGTGGAAGGAGCAGAAAATAATCTTTGGGCAGAAGGGTTAGAGGGAGAAAATGACGGTGACGGCAGAGCGTGGGGCCATTTTCAGTAGAGACACAGATATGGTGAAGAGGTGCTTGAGAGACTGAAAATATGGTGAGGGCTGGTGCCTCCAGCTTGGGAAGGTTTGTGCAGCCAGCCCGTGGTTGGAGAGCCCTTCTTGGGCCAGCACAGTGGTTGTGGTTGATGGGCTCCAACACGGATCTCACCATCAGCAGCCACGGGGAAGGCAGAAGAGTCTGTGCAAGGGAGCCTCCTGAGAGAGAAAACAATGGCAGAAAGAAGATCCAGGGTCTGGACTGAAAAGCCACTAATGAAACCATCAGAAATATTCCTCTTATTCTCTGCTTTGTTATTTAGAGAATGACAATTCATTCAGAAGCATCTTTTGTATGAGCAATACTTCTGAGGACTCAGGAAATTCTTAATGGGATGTGGGACTTGTCATCTGTGTGCCAGTAGTTCAGATGTAGTCCAGATTTTAGTGGGCCCAGTGTTAATAACATCTGATAGCACTTTGATGGCCTCTATGCTTTTTCAACTTGTTCCAGGTGGAGATGCTCCCACATCACAAAAACACCCCCATATAATAAATGCTAATAGCATGCATGGTGGCAGGCTCAGCAGAGGCAAAGGCTGGGACTCCAGCTGAGAGGAGTCCCTACAGAGCTCTTTGCTTCCAGGTTCCTTACATACCTTGTGATCCTAACTTCCAGACCACAGTGTGCATGAAATGTAGCATGTGTGGCTGTTGCATGAATTATGAGTGTTTTGTGAACCCAGAGCAATGGGTATTGTCTTTTTCCCTGGCTTTCAAAATGAAACATTTTTATTTTTGGGTATTATTCATATATATATATATATAAATATTATTATTATCATCATAATCATCATTATCATTATTCAGCTCCACAGGCTGTATTCAGCTGTTCTGCCAACACACACTATGTTCTAAGACCAACTTAAAGTATTTAGTTAAGCTACCTTTTGCTTACCTTATGCACCATATATAAGATAGAAAAAGTATTTCTCAAGCCATCCAAAATGACAGCCTGCATTACATGCAGAGCAAGGGAGATCAGGCTGCTCAGGATAAATCTCAGTTACCTTTGTCAAAGTACATAGGCACAGACGGTGACAGAAATAGCAGGAATTTGCTCCATCGCTCATAGCAAATAACAGCCACGTGAAGACAACAGATCTCTCATGTACGAAGCCAATATTTTTAGGATGCAGCCTGAAGTCTGAATGCAAACCTTCATGAGCAGTGAAGGCCATGACTGTGTTGTTTGTACGTGCCAATAGCTGGCTGTCTGCACGTGGTATTCATTACAGAGTTTTAGGAAGTGCTTGAACAAATGTTTTTTGGCTTGTGTGCTTATGGGTTTGCATGTGAATCTGAGCTGTTTTTTTCTTTGAGTTAAAAATTCAGTCTGTCAGTAGATAAAATCTAGTTCTTTTGAGGTTAGTTCAGGCTTTTTCAAGCTGTTGAAACTTTCTGTGTATGGCCACAGACAGAATCCTTCCAGCACTGAATTTGTGCATAAAACTTTATGTCTATGAATTTTCAGAATGTGCCAGAGTCCAGAGGAAATGGAAAGAAATGGGCAAGAAAAGCAGGGAAAGCAAAGCAAGAAGAAAAGAGAAGCAATTTGACAGTGAAAAACGAATTGCTGTGTTAGGCATCTACTGATGAGAAATCCGGGTAACGATGTTGTCTAACAACATTGATTCATTACACTATCTGCTCCCACAAAGTCCTGTGTGAACAGGAAAACTGAGAGAGAGAACACCACAAAATCAGCATATAAAGTTGCCAGTGTGCTTGATATGGTGCTGGAAGAGAGTTATTTGATCTGCCCTGCAATGCAGACTGTCATCACGCTCCCTGGGCTGTGCCCCGTGGGGGAAAGCCCCCCGTTTGCTGTCTTTTGTCACATGTGACAAACAGTACCAGGGTTGGAGGCTGGGGCTGTCATGATGGGTATAAGACACTCATGTTCTGTATCTTCCCCACTTTACACTTTTCTTGTGGCAAGCAATAGAAGATGTTGCTGCTAAAGGAATTTGGGATTTGGGGAATTTCAGCGTATGTATGAAACCTTCTGCTCACCAGCTTGATATTCCACGTGGTTTTAGACTGTTTTTCTCTCTCACAGTGACCCAAAGTCTCAGGACAGCACTAACTGCCTAGATTTCACTGATGCTTAATGGATAGTTTTCCAAATACACTTGCCATCCAAAAGCTGTAAGTGTTTTCAGAGCAAATCTAAATTTACAGGGGGATTTGTGGCTGAACCACAAGATGTTGATGGTCAAAAGAGGGCTTGTGAAAAGGTTTCAGCAATTTCATCTTTGAGTGGCTCCATGAGATGAGCCATTCACGTGAGTGAAAAGGGAAGGACACGAAAGATAAAGTTCTTTGTGATCCCTCCTTGCTGTTGCTGCAGCTCCAGCTTCTCACACAGAGCCGGTGACACGTCGGGTCCCTCTGATGATGAAAGAGGACTGGCTTTCTCCAGGGCTCACTCCAAGTTTTTCCTTATCTCCCAGGAGAACACTAAGCTCTGGTATGATCTACTTCAGGCAAAGCAATATGTGTCATTCTTGATAAAAATGTTTCTCAAACGGTTTAAAGAGTCTTGAGGTATGACAGCTTTGTACTTACTGGGAAGAGAAAATAAGAGAGCAAACAGAGACTTGTGAATTTTCCTCAGAGTTTAAGAGCAGGACATGATTTGCTGTACTAAAGACTGTGATTTTCTGACTGTGTCTGTAAATAAAAAGTGCATGTTTGGGCTAACATTTGACAGCCAACAGCATCTCTTTTCTATCTGCTCTGCAAGAAAAGTTATGCTGCCAAATGGTTTTTACAGCAATTTGCTCTGCTGATGAAATGAACACATTTTGTGTTCAAAGAGATTAAGGACTGGCATGTATACACGTGTTTGTCTTATAGAAAAGCCACTTCTAAATGCTACTTAAGAAGCAGAAGGCTGAATTCTGATCTTCTTGAAATCCGTGGCAAAGCTCATGGTGCCTTTAGGAAAAACAGGTTTGGAAAGAAGTGACAAACAGAATGGGTTTTGCCATTAATCTCTTTGATCCTGGTTTTAGAAGAGCCATTTCATGTCTAAATTGTCCTCTTGTGGGAAGGTTTTTTTCTACACACAACTGACTAAATTACTGATGGTTGTTACTTGTCTTTTCTTTTTCTCATGAAAGGGCTGACTATTTTCCTAGGCCAGCAGGACTGACCTGCAATCAGGACGTGATCACAGGCTCTGGAGGCAGGAAAATTGCTCAGTCAAAGGCAAGTTCTTCTTGGTCAAAATCAGACAAACATTTAGATGTGTCTTATGCCTACATTAAGCGCTCACGTGGTTATTAATTATTATTTTTGTGGCTATGTTCGTTGTTGTCATTGGCTTTGGACAGAGCTCTCCATCCCAGTTCCCATCAACGTTCCAGCATGTCCCTGGATCCTCTGGCAGAGCCTGGGAAGAGTGAGGTGCTCCCTGGGACACCAAGACTCACTCCATGATGGGTCAGAGGTTTGCTTCTTCCTTGGAGAAGCATGGATATTGCCTCTGTTGGCCTTGTTTTCCATTAAAAGAGAACAGGGAAGCAGAAGCATCAATAATAACAATACTATAAACACAGCAACTAAGGAAGTCATTTAACTCAGTCTCCAGATGATTTTAAAGTAGATTTCAGGGATGATGTTCAAATAAACACTTTGACTTGAGCTTAATTGAAGTCCAGTGTTTTTAAAGCCAGGCATTTTATTTTTTCAATTATAAGCTTTTACTGATGGGAACAGGAAACCCTGCTAGAAAAACTCCCTGTTCTCGGAGTTTCTACTGTTTGGAAAAAGGTGTAATAAAAAAACACTAGGGAGTCTGTTCCTGTAAAATTCTTCAGTCTGCCACTTCACACAGAAGGATTTGAAGTGGCTGGCTTTGGTCAAAGCTGCTTTGATCTAAAAATCTCACCTGATTTTTAGTCTAGAATAGGATCACCAAGGGGCTATACAACCTTTCAGAGTAGCTCAATTACAAATAAGGAGGTCAAAAAATTTGGGCCCTGATTCTGATCTCACTTTCAGCAGTTTCAGAGGGAAGTAGTTCTGTCAAAGTCAGAAAAAAGATTAAATTATAAACCAGCATGGGACTGGAGTCACACTCCTTGAATTCTGTTAGTAATTATTATTTCTGGTGTTTATTATTCTGATTATGGTAGTTCTTTGGAGCATCTTAGATAAAGACCTTAAGTCACCATCATTTATCTGGCAGTTTCTAGCTCCATGCCTGCTGCAGCATGAATCTCTGGAACTAAAGCAGCCCTTATCACTTCCTGCCTCTGCTGGCTAAGCAAGAAAGAAAAAATCTTTATGGCATCTGTACAAATATGTGTCACGGGGTGATTGAGTAGGTCTGTGAAGCAGCTGTGGTGTATTCCAAAAAAGAAGAAACCCAGTGAAAGAGGAGCTGTGAATGCAGGAGCCTCGTGCCACGGGAAGTGGCTGCGCTGTCTGTCTGTCCTCCCCCAGCCATGTCACTCCACCCCACCAGCCGTGGTCCAGCTCACAGACACTTGACCTTGCTTGGGGTTTGAACCTAAATGTGTGCTTTTTCACATGGAATTTTTCATCTTGCTGTTCTCCTGAGACAAGGAGCCTACATGTGTAAATACTGCACAGGAGCACCTGCTTCTGTGGTCTTTGATTACAGGAGGATGGTACCTGCCCTGCAGGTGAGCTGCTTCCTCCCCTCCCACCACACTCATCCTCACGTGCTCTGTGCTCTGCCTCTGGGCATGCGAAGTTTAACTGCTCTTCCCACGGCAATAAAAGCTGACCTGTCATGACACACTGCTGATGTATCCAAACGTTTTAGCAACGTCAGACTCACCATTCTTTCAGCTGAGGGGTCGTTAGCACACAGGATCTGTTGCCTCCCCAGGTGTAGGGTAATCTTCAGTCAAAACAAGTGAGTTATGGCAACCAGTAGATGCTTCAGTTCCTAGAAAGGCTTTCCAAGTCATTGGGTGCTTATGCTCCAAAGTGACTGAAAGGCTATTCTGAGTGAGGGATGTCATTTACAAAGAATTCAGTATAGGTGGTTCAGCAGGCCGAGTGCTTAGCTTGGAAAGTAAATAGGGTCATAAATATTAATAAGTATCCCAAGTCCTTACCCAACCACACTGTGCTAGGAGCTAATTTTCCAACTTCTCTGCTTGTTCTGGCGCCAGAGGCCTTTGGTGGAGGTGGTAAGTGAGGCAGGGCAGGCTCTGAGGGATAAAGGAACCCCTGTACAATGACACTGTGCTTGCGTGTCCTGGCAGCATTTCTGGCTTGATGGCTGGTTCTTTGGAACACATCTACACGTGCTCTCCATCAAGATGCAAATATCAGCTATGACATCTGCCCTCAGTATTCTGGGAGTACTTCAGAAAACCCCACAAAGGTCATTGTTCCCAACACAAACTGTCCTGGTTTTTGGATTACGTCTTTCATTATTACTGAAAAATAATAGAAATGTATTCATGGAAAATGATCTTTTTCTTTAATATTTCTTCTTAGAAAGGTCCCTTTCTTTCCATTCTTCACTCAGTAAGAATGATGAGATACTCTCTCTGTATCTTCACTCTCACAGCTCTACTCCTCTCTGGAGGATAGCAAAGCTGTTATTGAGCCACTGCAAAAGGAAGGAAGTGTGACAATGATTACAGTCTAACCTCCCATAGTGTCGACCGTCAGAAGTGAGGCTGGACTGATGCCTTTTTTGGTATTATTGTGGAAGAATTTTTCTCCTTGATTTCTTTCTAATGAGTTCTGCAATTTGTGCCTTGAATAGTGGCCATATTAAATAAATATTGGAGGGGTGGAATAATTTATTATTAAAAAATTCTCATTATATTAGTGTAGATAAGTTTGCTTTTTGTATTTCCTGCGTTCACTTATCACCTGAAATAGCAAATGACTCGTCTCTGGTTTTAATTATTCAGGCTGGTTGGTGATCTGGACTGCCAACAGAAAATCGCTCTGGCTTGGTTACCTGAAGCCACTAGATGGTGCAAGTAGACCTCGTTCCTTCGGGAGGCCCAGTACCACCAGATGGCACGGCTGAGGTGGAGACAAACCTTCCCGTTTGTTCCATACTGTTCATCTGCTCTGCTAACCAGAGAATTGCTTAGAAAATCCTATGCAACGTTAGGAACAAGCTTCTTTGCACAGGAATAATGGGATTTGTTAGTTGGGCATTTGAAAAGGAGAAGCATATGACTAAAGTTTAGGAAGGAAAGAATAATAAAATACTTAAACTTTACACAGAATAGTCCCTCTGTTATTAGTTTTAAAGCAAAAAAGGATCGTAAAGATCATTTGGTGTTATGCCCTACATTTATCCACAGAGAGAGAGCACAGACTTTAGGATGGTCCTCAATCAATTCTTATTTCGACCTTCCTTTTAGACCAAAAATATATAGAAATATTGAAAACTCTCAAATTTCTTAATTATGGCCATGTGACTGGGTAAACTGAGGCACAGAAGTCCTAAAGCCATAGAGCAGCTCAGGGCCAGAGCCAGAACCAGCAGCTGGGTGTGCTGGCTCGGCAGTGGTGCTGTCCTCCTGTCCCTCTCCTGTCCTCCTGTCCCTCTCCAGCTCCTCTTCTGTTCCTCAGCAGGTGACAGAGTTTCCTGCAGTGGAACCTGGAGATTCCTGCCCAAAGCAGGGACAGAGGAGGTGACAACGGGTCACTTACTGAGCCAGACCCAAACCCGTGTGGGAGGCAGCCAGTGAGAACTGAGCTCTTTGCAACTCTTGTTCATGTGCGGGGAAGGCCAAGAAGGGAGAACCACTTCCCTCCTGGTGTGTGTGCCAGCAGGGGAGGCACTGCCTGATGGCAAGAGAGTATGAGCTAGAACTGGACATTTTATGTTCTGATTTTTATTTTGCATCATTTTGGCTAAATCACCTAAAGCAAATAACAGCCTTCCTTGGCTTTGTTTGCCCTCATCCATTGAAGTGTGGTAATAATACCTTTGAGGACTGTGGCAAAGCCTAATATGCTGTTTGTTCAGCATAGGATAAAAGATTTAATTAATACTGGAGGAGGGGCTAGATTCCAGTTCTTTGTTCTCAAAATTGATCTCTACAGGCCTTTCTAGCATTAGAAAATGAGTGTCTCAGACAGAAAGACTTATTTTGAAGTTTTTCTATCTTAAAGTGGCAAAAAATCACTGTGGAAAAAGAAAATAATATAAAAAAGGCAAACTAAACCATTGTCCACAACACTATAAATAAAATAATGGTCAAAACAAACCTTAACAGAATCAGAACAATGTTGATTTCAGACTGTGCTGGCAGACAGGGGAGGTCTTGTAAGTCATGTCAGCAAGCACACCCTGTGTACAACTGGTGTTGTAAGGTGGGTAATCACTTTGTGAATTCAATGGGAAGGTGTTTGTTACCATTTCAGGATTAGAAACAGAGAAAGAAAAAACAAATAAATGCTTCAGTACTATATTTTCTTTTAGCAACATCTTTCTTATAGAAGAAAGGCTTTAGAAAAGAGCTCACCCTTTCTGCTTTCTGGAAACAGCTGAAGAACAGGGGTAATATGGAGTAGATAAGAATACAGCTACTACAGGGTTTTTCTTTGGGCCAGATGGGCATTTGGAAGTGAATCTCTTCCTTGTCCCCACTTGCTGCACTTGGATTTGCCCCCCAGAGTGGGCACACAGGAGCATACCTGAAGACCTTCCACAGCTGATGGCTGCTGAGTGGACAGGCCAAGGTACAACCCCTGAAACACGGACAGTGTGGGCAGGAGGGGACAGGGCACTGCCAGCTGTGCCACTCTGCAGGTCTGCTCCTACTGCTTGCTAAGGGAGGATCTGATGCTGAATCCTGCTGGAGGCAAAGTTTGGGAAACTATCCCCTGCAGGTCATTACAAATGGTGATATTCATCCCACCTACCTGCAGTGACTGGGGACAGACAGAGTCAGGCAAGGTGAGTTGTGTCAAGATCTCTCTGAGGTCAGAGGAGGGAAACTGTAATTTCCAACCCATCTCTCAGCACTGATGAGGGAGGGAGCCCAGACCTCTTAATTCTTAGTGGCTGAAACCACTTGAGGCATTTCTGTGCACACATTCTAGAAAACAGCTGTGCCAAGACCATGGTTGATGCTGTGAAGAGGTGAGCATTGGTACTATGGCACCTACAGTCTTGGCCTTGCTTTCCTTGCCTTTTCCTCCTTTTCCCTTCTGTCCCATGACCCTTCCAGCCCATCTGTGCCCTGTGCTACCCCACACAACTCATAACAGCACTCCTGCTTCTGTGGCTGAGCTGGGAGCTGGATTAGGGAACAGACCCGGTTGAAGGGCATCCTGTATGCACAGCTTTCCTTTTCAGGCAGATCAGTTCCCCATCCATTTCTCACCATGCCCATGGAAACAGCTGAGGGCGAGGATGTTCTCACAATCCCTCTTTAAAGCCGGTGTCACCACTATGCAGGGCCAGGAGTTGGACTCAGTGATCACTGTGGGTCCCTTCCAATTCAGGATATTCTATTCTGTACATACTAAATGTATATAATAGCAGCCTGGACGTGAAACCTCTGTCTCCACTGAGATTTCACACTGAGGAAGCATCCCTGGGGTAGCCCCCTCAGTGCACACAGCACTTTTTTTCCGCTTTGGAGCCCTGGCCTTTGTTGGAAGCCTCCAAACACCATTTTTGCTTCCTGGGTTATCTGTGAAGAAAACTCCACCATTTTCATCCAACTGCAAGAATGATTTTTTCCTGTTCTGTAGCTGGTCAATATTTGAATTGGCAGGAAGGTGGGTGTTTCAAAGGACAGATAATCTTTTATTTGTTCTCTTCGATTCTTGCTCATACCCAGCCCAGACTTCTGCTTAAATGTCGCCAGTTTCTCTTATTACTGCTATTTTTAGTGGAATTTAAGTTACAATGGTAGAGGCCATGGGACTTGAATCATTCCAGTTTACAGTCTTGGTATCATGGCTGATTATAATTCCATGAGGCAGATTTGATGTAAATACACAAAATGTCAGCTCCAGCCCCATCCTGGAATAACAACGACCTTACCACCCCTCTGAATGCTGCTCCAGCTCCTGAACTTTCCTTGCCCTGAGTGCAGGAGGAAATATAGTGCACAGGGAAATAGAATGGCTGCCAGCAACGGCAGTCAGTACGTTGTGGGGCATTCTGTTGGAATTAGGAAGGAAAAGGAGATGTTAACCAGTGGTGAATTCTCCTGAGTGTCATTCCTGGGCCACGGAGCAGAGCGTGAGACCTTGGGGTGCCTTTCTGTGAGGAGGGGGGAGAACAGGTGCAGGTTCTTGCTGCTGGCCTCATGCTGCCCCTTTCCCTGTCCCCACAGTCCCACAGCACTGCCCCTTGGAGGGGTTTCTCTGTGTTTGCTTTGGGAGCAGGAGGCAAGGCAGGGGCTGAGCGTGCAGGGCAAACACAGCAGCCACTGTGCCCTTCCCCTGCACCCACCCTCCCTGTTTGCCCTCTTCCCTCCCCCCTGCCTCCTCCAGGGCAATTCTGCCATCAGTTCAGGCAGAAATCTGGGCAGAAATTAATGTTGAATAGAGCAGCATGGAATTGTCACTGAAGGCTTCCAGGGGGGAAGGAGAGGGGCAGGCACCAGGGCAGCACGTGTCCCTTGGGCTGCTCTGCAGATCCAGGGCTGCACAGAGGGGTGAAAACTGACCCAAATTCAGCCTCCCAACACAGATTTATTACTCTGGCCTTCGTCAGTGCCTCGTTCACATTTGCACAAGCTGTGTCTGTGGCTCCCTGACTTGGAGCTGCAACAGCCCATATTTCCAGGCAATGGTTCCTGTCAGACAAGAGTAAGACAAACCAGAAGTGCCATTCATGCATACAGGGAGATGGTGGCTGTACAGGTACAGAAAATAAGTCCAAGTGTTAACTGTGCTATCTGCCCAGTGAATGCTGCTTCTCCTATCAGAAAGGAATGACTGGAAAGCACTAACAAAATGCTCGAGTTATACAAGAGCAAGCAAATTAGCTTGGTAACATTTGTCATTTAATCTGTTTGGGACAAACAAATTTTAAAAAGAGCAATATCTACTTCCTAAAGGTACAATTTGAACACCTATCAGAAAAGCACTGTGCTTTAAACAGGATCATATACCCAGAGGCAACCCTTGGCAAGGCTTATGGGACCCAGAAGGAAAATGATAACATTTAAAAGATGTCTTTGTTGTTATTTATTGATCTCCTCTATACATTTCTGTGTTCTCTTTCAGATTCTACAAGTTGCCTATATAGAACTGACAAATAGAAACAGAAGCACCTGTGTAATCAGATAGAACTAAATCACAAAGAGTTTCTTTTACACTGAATGGCTTATAGTCTCATGAAGAAATTTAACTGAATTATTTGATATATTGATAAATCCCAAGGTGTTCTCTGCTTGTGCAATATCCACAAGGAGAAGTTCCAGGATATTACTTCTGCTTTTGTAAGCATTTTAAATACAACAGTGCTGAATGCTTGACAGAAGTGCTGTTTGGACTCATTCCTGCTCAGCCTGCAGTGGAACACACTGCTCAGCTCAGTGCTGTCAGACAGAGGGGTGCTGCAAACATCACATCCTCAGGTATTAGTTCCTGCAGGGAGGTAGCTTGCAGTCCCAGCCCAGCACTAGAACTCCTTTATGCCATGCACTGCATAACTAAAAACCACAAACATAATGTCTGCCCTGAGTAACATAAATCCACTTCAAACAGAAGAGAAGCAGAGAGAGCTGCATAAGGAGCATGAGGAGGAAGTGGCATTATCCAGTGATAGAGCAGGCAGCAATTCCTATGTGCCACCTGTGCCAAGAGTTTTGTACTCATCATGGGCTGAAAGAGGACAACAGAATTTCTTTAGTTCTTCTTTGGTGAAAGCTTTTGGTGTCAAGAATAACGGAAGAGAAAGGACAATGTATTTCTCAAAAAACCCAGCAGAGCCTGAGCATCATCAGCAGAGTGGAAGTCTCCTGGTGGCACAGAAGTGCCCCAGGGCACACCCTCAGCCAGGCCTGTGTGGTTTGTGGTTACGTGGTTACTCTGGTATTCATGGGCACAGGCACTGCACTTTCCAGCAGGTGCAGTAAATGCAATTAGTTGCTATGGATATTGATCCTGCCTTTAGAGCCTAACTTTGAAGATGGTTTGGGTCATCCGAAAAACAAAGATGTAGCATGATGCCTTGCCTTAACTAGGATTGCAAATTATTTCTTTTATCCTTGATTTTTCCCTTGATTACCTTGCTTTCCCTCTTTTATTTATTCTTGTGAAGAGAGGGTCTATGCAAATATTGTGATTTGAAAAGAGAGGCGATGGAGGTGGCCTGTTGAGAGCTCCTTTCATGTAGATGCAGGGTCTAGCAGAGCTACATCAGAGGTAAACTTTGCAAAAGAGTGGAAGTTGGAGTACCTGATTATTTTTGACAAAGAGAAAGCACATGGAAAGCAAAACATATGGTCTTGAACTACAGATGAAATTTGAGAGATGGTTAAAATACATTCAGATTCATACTGAGAATGAGAACAGTCCAGAATTCAGTCTAGCTCATAAAAAACCCAAGAGCTATTTAGAAATATCTAGATGTGAATTTTGAATTTCCAAAAGTCCTGAAGTTTACAGGAACTTGATTCCCAGATCCTTGGCTTGGGTTGCCTGTCTCTCAAAGTACATGGGATCTGCTACAATATACTTACATGGCAATCTTAGAAGAAACAGAGGAAAAAAAGATTTTATATTTTATAAATCAATATTTAATTTAGGAAATCAGGAATATTTATTTACAGATATACAATGTTGAACAACTGTGTCCTGTTAATATTTCAGTGCTTCATATTTCTTATCAGAAGCTTTTTCTTATGGTGATTGTTCACAATGCACTATTTCAAACATCCTTCATCTCCCCAAAATAGGATTTTTAATGAGACTACCAGGAAAAGTTATTGGAAACACATCATTACACAGAAGCCAATTAGCACTTTCTCACTTCTTCACCTTCTTTACTGTAGGCAATCTACATAGTTAATTATAATTATAAATGGAGTTACAGATACGATTTGCAGCTTTCAGTGGGTGTATCTAACCTGGACTCCTCATGAAAAAAGCACAGAAAGAGAAGGAAAAAATGAATGAAGATATACACTCCTGTTAAAATCCAGAACCTTTTTTCCCACAATTGAGACTTAAATAATAAACAAAACCAGAGTGGCAGAGAAGATATTCATCTTCAGTACAAGTCAGTGTGCTGCTCAGTCCAGTTCCATTTAAATCCAGAGTATGTGCTCAAAATGGGTTCTGTGCTTTAAATCAGAGTATAATTCTTGTGTGGATCACTTGTAGTGCCTGGATTTCTTCCCACTAACTGTAGTCATTTCTGAAATTGCAAAGCCCAATTTCATAATGTAACAATTTCCTTTAATAAAATACAAAAAATGTAGCCTGTAAACATGGAAGGGTTTATTATTCATAAAGCTGCTTTTGTCCAAAACTTCTCACATATGATGGGACACCCTAGAAGCTAAAAATCAAGAAACTGTGTGCAAATATTTGCCAGCATAGAGCCATAAAACTCAGAAGGAACCTGGAAGTTGAAGGGAAGAAGTTGTGAAAATGGCTCTCCCTTAATTTAACTGAATGAAGTAAACAAATCCTTGGAAAATGAAAATGAAGAAATCAGATAATGAATAACTATAAAGGCTCATTAGAACTTAGACGTGCTCCCCTCAAATATAATTGCACTTAATATGATTTCATCAAATGTCACTGGAGAGCTGGAAGCTCATAATGATGAAACACTTTCTGCTCCTTCTGCCTGACAGTGAGGTCTCATCAGGCTTTATAAATATTGACAGTGACTGACTCTTCCTGCAGGGACAATCTGGCGATGGAAAATGCGGGTGGTTAATCCAATCCCCAGCCCAGGCCGGGGGTGAGATGGAGCCTCCTGCCCCACATCCCACACCTGCACAGGCTGCTGCTGCCTGGCTCCTGCTCCAGCCCCTGGGGCAGCCACAGACGGTTTGCAGGCTGACCTGCCCTGCCTGGGCTGGGCCATCCTGCAGAAGAAGAGGGACAGTGGTGCCCCCCACGCCTCTGGAAACGTGCTGCTGGCAGGCACACGCACAGGAGGGCCCCCCGACGATGCTCAGGGGTGGGAAGAGTGGTCATCTCCACTCACATCTTGTGTCTCAGGCTGCCAAACACTTGTCAGACCTGAATATCCAACTGTGGAACTTCTCTCCCCTTATATATTTAAAATTTACAGTGATTAACTAACCTGCCTTGGATTAAAACATCAATCATGGCAAGCTGCCATGGAAAGCAGAGGAACTAGAAGGATTTATGACCATGGAAAAGCTGGACCCAAATGTTTCATGTGTGATTGGCTTTGTTCACACAGAAATACTGAAGGGGAAATTGTATAAAACTATATAGGTTAGATAAAGTTATATAAAGCCAGGATTGTATGACAAAGAAGATATTCCATGTCACAGAATCCTGATTTTACATAAGTTCTCTCTTTCCTTTTCAGAAAGGCAAAAATGTTATATGGAGAAAGTTTAATACCCTCGATGTCATGCACAGAGGAATCCCTTCACTCCCTTTGGAGAAATACTCTTCTGCTCACAGGCTGGTCCCTGGATAAAGATGGATGGACTGAAGGTTTTTAAAAGCAGCATTCAGCAAATCACGTTTTCACATTTCATGGCTTCTGTGGTCTTATCCATTATGTTGCATCTTTCTATATTAAAGAAAAAAAAATCTCCAGTTGCCAAACTAAGCCTTTTTAATGCTTCCAGGGAAAGCTCTGATTTCAACTTAGTTTTTACAGTTCTTGGCTTCTCAGTTTGAACAAATGCATCGTTTGACTCTGCACAAGCTCCATTATTTGCAGATAACTTTTCAACACCAAAGGCCTGAATCACTTCATCCTCTGACTCTGTGAAGAAGATTGGTGCTGACCAGGGGCTCTGTGACTGAATGGAGTCTCATCTGAGAGGTGCTGCCAACTTTCATCTCCACGCTGAGCTCCTGCCCCCCCTGTGTTAGTGCTGATGGCATCTTGCTCTCTGACACCATCAGCACCCCCCTTTCTACATGCCAGACACAACCAGTCAGGATTTCTTACCATTATATCCATTAATTCCTGGTTTGTTAACCGTCTGACACCAGGCCAACTTCACCCCTCTGTTGAATTAGTACCAATATTTGGATACAGCAGCAGAAAAGAGAGGCACGCAAGGAAGTACAAGTGTAAAGAAGCACTTTAGTGAACTGCTTTCCCCTGGAAGATCCATGGAAACCCTCCAGCCCCTGTACCATTGGGAGATCATCTTAGGACTCCTGAGAAGCTGTCACTGTCAGCAGACCTAAGACACGGGGCAAGTTTTGGTCCTTGGAGGAGCAATCTCACATGAAAATGTGCAGCAAGGTCACCAATGGCCAGGAGTGTCTGCACTGCTTGGAGCCCTCTGGCTCACATTTGCTTCCTGCCTTACTGAATGCATTTAACACAGCTTCCAGAATCAGAGTTTATTAATACCTTTACTCTCTGTGTTACCATGGAAAATATCAATAAATACATCAGCAGAAGCTCAGTCAGATGTGATGCAGTATAAATGTGCACGTGCAATGCATACATTATACATGGTTTTTTTAAGTAGGGCTGAAAAAAACCCTACAGAGTGCACTTTATATGTCTATATATAATATATCCGTATGTACATATATATGTGTTTAGATATTAATGTGACATTACATGGACGTTGCAATGCTCATGGACCCCTGCACACACTACGCAAAATTATCTACCGCATTAGGACTGCACAAGACTTACAAAAGCTTGAAACACTGATAGAAAACAGGAGGTAACACAGCCAGCTTTGATGGCTTCTGACAAAAAAATGGGAACCTTTGTTTTTCGGTTATGTCAGCACAGGCCAAACATCACATGTGTGGGCAAACCCTGCCATAGCTAATGGAAATATATCCCTCAGCAGCACCAATTTATTCTCCTTTCATTTCTGGCTTCTACAAAGCAAAATAAAATAGGAAACAAAGCTGGTTTATGCTAAGGGAAATGTAATTTTGAGTTTGAGTGCATGGGATTGGTTTTGAGCACTGATCAGGAAAGAATAATTTGCTCTGTATTTTGGGGCCATTAGTCTGTAAGACAGTGCAGTGCAATCCAGCACAGTCTAAATTTGCCAGTGATATTTTTCATAGAACATGAGCTAATTAGCCCCTCTGAAATTCCTTCTTGATCCCTTGTGGATTTCCTTCTGAAAAACCTCAGAAAGTCAGTACAAATGTTCCTCTTCATGTTTTGCATCTCTAGTTAACTCTTTATTTTTCCATGCAGGACCAGGAAGAGTACGGCAATCCTGAAGATTATTCACAATTTGTTACACTTGTAAACGTTCACACCATTCTGGTCTTTAGTATTGCAGCCATAAATAAGAAAAAAAAAATAAAAGGGTTTGTCTTGCTGTGATTTTCTCTTGATAAAGCCAACGCTGAAGAAAATAGGGTGTGTAAGAACGCCAGTATTTGTACCTTCAGGCCCAGACTTGTAGGTACCACAAGCACGTAGAGACTGCTAATAAATACTCCCTGGGTTTCAGTGGATCTCTGGGGAGACCAACAGCCCTACTCACCAAAGGGTGAACAGTTGTACACCAGAGGCCTGTGTTCAGCCGTGTCCTTCACTCCCTGCTTTCCCCCTGTTCACCTTTCCATCCTGCCCTGCCTGCCAGACCCAGCGTTCACCTCTGCCCCCTCCCAGGCTGGGGGGAACAGCCCCTGTGCACATCCCCCAGCCAAGGGCAGCCCAGGACAGGCCTGGCACGTGTCACACACTCAGTCCCTCTCCAGGATTTTCTCAGCAGACTGACACATGTTTTGGGCCGAGCAGAACCACCAAGGGCTGCAAAAAATCACAGGCTGTGAAATCTCTCTGTATTGTTCCCTCTGCTCATGGTGAGGATCTCCTGGAGCCAAGTTCCCTTCTATATGTATAAACTGCTCTCCCTGGGAATGCTTCAGCTAACCCTGCTCTAACCAGCCACTGTTGGATTATTTCTGGGCATTAAAAAATTTTTCTTCAACCAAACACATTTAGGATTTTCTAATAGCAATTTAAACCTAATCTGAGAATGTCTGGAAGTGGAAAATGACTTCTACATGCTGAGGATAGTGTTCCATTACAGTAATTTATTGTCTTTAAGAGCATCACTGGAACATTTATTGACACAACAAAACACAGACATTTCTGGTTTATTGTAAAATCACATTGTGCTCAGCCATTTGTGACTAAGCACAGCAGTGTAATTTATATTCCCAGGCAGGGCTTCCTATTTTTCCAAGTGTGTTTAGATTCATAGGAAGGTTGTATGATCCAAGGGACAAAACAACTCTCCTGTTAAAAAACAGTGTAAACCCACAAACACTATTGGTGGAAGAAAATGGATTAGATCTTTAAAAAGGAATTTGGCTGAGGAAATTTACTACAACATTTCCAGTTGTATATGAAGATATCTAAGAGGTTGTGGCTGATCTGATGAAGCAAAGGGTTTCAGTCATTCTAAATCATAAATCATGTTTTTCTGTGTTAAGAATTATAATTCAGCATGTAAGGTAAAAACTTAGTTTATGTCTCCTTATTGACTCTTGAACAGATAATCCAGAAAAAACATAATTTCTAATTAAAGGTTACACAAAAGTGCACTGTTCAGAAAACATTTTTTTTCAAATACTTAAAAACTCATTATTATTGACAGCACACTTTAGATCCAGTCATATCTTGAAGCCAGGAATTACAAACGTGGGTAACTGTTTGGTCTGTGGAAGTATTAGAGCAGAAATCTTCCTTGACTTTCATCCATTAGCAGTGGGTGACAGAATAAATCCATGGGTGGTTCCAGATGTCTAAGGACATCCTGAGTGACTCACACATGTAGCTGAGAGGTAGAGCTCATGCACCCCACATTTCACTTCTATTTCACTGCAATGTGCAGAACAATCTCAGAACTGAATTTTGTAAGGATTCAGAGCTGTTCAATGTAAATTTTTATCCTCTGAATATTTTAGAGGCAATTGTGCATATTTATTCTGAATGTATTTATTTCTTCATACCTGTGACCAACCTATCCTTCACCTTGACCTCTACCACCTTCCCCAAAGAAAGCCCACTGGCTTTGCAGGTTTGCCTGTGAGAGTCACATTGCTGATGTGCACTTCCTTGGGTTTTTTGCTGGTGTTTGTTACAAACTTTTTGTTGTGTTTGTGGCCAGACAGTTTCAAATAAAAGAAACCCAGCTGTTTATCTGGTGACACCCTTGACGGAAGACTTTAAAAAATAACTTATATATATTAACTAAAAAGGTGGTGTGAGGCTAATTGAGATTAGATAAGGATCATTAGACACATTACACTGAGGCAGCAAGTGATTATATCGTGGTTTTGTGACTTGTCCCAAGGTTTATGGGTTGGCACAGACAGAAATCTTCTGCCCTCCCATCTTTCCTGTAAGACCAGGATATTTCATGTAAGGACTTGTCCTTCTGTAAAACTAATGTGATTCCCTCCAGACCAGTCAGTTAACTTTTCTCATTGACTGCACTTATATATGACATATTACACACAGGTCTGAAGAGATTTCATTTACACCAGCAATATAAATAAGGCCATACAAAAGCCTTTTGTCTCCCAGCTAATCTAGTATCTTTGTTCCTGCATTACAGTTGTTAGTTTTCTTGCAAGCTCTGAATGTTTCTTTGTGCTCTTATCCCATAATTAGTTCATTAGGACCCACAAGGCTGCTGCATCAGCCCAGGTGTTGCTAAAATTATAATCTATGGGAAGCAATCACAGTATTCAGCAGCCTGCAGGTCACACCTGCTCTGTGTGGTTGGTTTGTTTTTCATTATGAATTTTCCACAGGGTTTATTCCTGGATAATACATTTAGATATAGGTCTGGCAGGCAATTCAAGGATTTTAGAGTGAATTGACTTTCCATGACGGATGGGATTTGCTCTTAAGTGTTAATGAAGTAGGATAACTTTTTGGAACCACTTTCACTCATGCTGATTGTGTATTTGAGTAATTCTACTATAACATTTCAATTCTTTAACATGGTAAAAGAATCATTGTTTTATTTTATTGGCACTTAACTTTAAAAAGACAAAGTTAGAGCTTGGTTTAGCATTTTTACACAAGCAGAAACCAGCAGTGCTAAAACTGTGCTGAAGAACAAGGAATGACTCCACAAGGAGTCACAGGCATCCCACCACTTGCTGAGGCAGCCCTGACATGACTACCAGGTCCTTGTGATGTGCTGTGAAATCAGGTGCCAACAACACCCATCCACCACGTGGCGACTGGAGGTCCCTTTATGATGGTCCATGGATATGGCTGAGTCAGCCAACAGGCCCTGAAACAATTCATCTTTGTCACACTGCAGGATTTTACAGTGAACTCTCTGCCAGAGAAAAAGCAAGGATGAAAACCCCAGGCAGGAGAACTCCAACAACTAAGAGTCCTACTAAGGCAGAACCCCTGGTACAGCTTTCAGGGCCCTGCAACACAGTGTTCATTGGGACAGGGCAGCAACTGAACTGGAATGAACCCAGAGCTGGAAGTGCTTATCCCTATGTTTTAGCCGTCTCCCTTTGTTTGCACTCCTTCAAGTGTGTTCAGAGGAGGTTTATAGGTCTATGGCAGGTATGGAAGCATCTCTTCACCCTTGGCCATTTCAAAGGTTCATAGAAAGCAGAGAGTCTGCCCAGGCCATCAGCTGTGTCCTGCTGTTGGAGGCAAACATTTCAGGTACCCTCCTCCAGTAACTCTTGAGTTATGTCTTGGATGTATGGAGTCACAGACTCATGGAATAGCTTGTGTTGGAAGGGATCATGAAGATCATCTCGTTCCAGTGCCCCTGTCATGAGCAGGGACACCTTCCACTAGACCAGGTCACTCAAAGTCCCATCCAAACTGACCTTATAGAGCTCCTTGGGCTGACTTCAAGCAGGATATTCCCTATAACTGAGTCAAGACCTGGCAAAAATATTTCCCTTCCCAGTAGTCCTGCTTTATGTCTCCACCTCTGCAGTTCCACTTCATGAACCCTTTTGACTTCTTGACTGTCGCTGTCTGAGCATTTCCCATCTTCCATCCCCCCCACAGCTGATGGGGAATGCATGTCATACTTCAAACCTGCCTAACCTCACTTTTGGCATTTCTTTTGCTCAGGAGGCCCCTGCACTCGTGCACTCAGCCTTGGCCAGTTCTGCAAAACTAATCAGTGCTAATGCAGGCCATGTGCTGTATGCTAGCAGAAAGAAGGGGTTGAACCCACTTTTTGGTGTAGAGCTCTGCTGTGGCAAAGCACCTACAATGTTTCTGAAAGCTAGTTAATCTGTCATTCAGCCAACAAATGTTAAAGGTGAGAAACTACTTAAACCAAATTGAATTTTAAGCTTCCATACACTCTTAGTTACAATGAAGGCTGATACCTGGCCTGAAAAAGGAGGAAGGTATTTGCCTCTGAAGCCGAGCCACTGAAGGAAAAGCTCTTGCTTCCTTTCCCACCACACACTC